ACAGATCACATCCTAGAAATGTCAGTATTTTGCACAAATCAGTTCACATATCCTGCTTATCTGGTAAATTTCGTGCTCCAGCTTTCTTATTAGGGGATCCAAATTCACATCTTCCGAAACCAAGCGCGTTGTAGTCAGCCGGACACGTAGATTTGGGTTAAAGCTGACATTAACAACCACATTTGGTTGAATTCGAAGTTGGCATTCATGCGTTCCAGAGGCAGATATGTTTATTTAATCCAAGCTACTGCACACGATTCTATGCTTCGCTTTTTTCCCGGGCGTTTGAAAGGGCAACTATTTTTTTTTCGCCGAGAGACCGATTGTGACGATCTGACGAAAATGGTGAATAAAGTTGGGTGGTTCCATTTTAAAAATGACGTTAGAAAACTAATGGAATACTGCCCGGGAAGGCAACTGTAAATTTACGTTACATGTAGGTAGCCAGCGAGCCATAACTTGTACGGTACGATTCGCATCGTGAAATCAATTGTAAAACTTAACATGAAGTTAGAGACGTTGTCAAGACGGGTTGAAATACATGCATCATTTAGCGAGTCAGCTATTAAGGAGAAGTAAACCAATGCTTGAATTTAAATGGAGTCTGTCCGCAGCCCCGTGTTTCAGACGGGTAATGCCATATTCGAGTTAGATATGATTATAGCGTATGTGTTTGGCGGTCATCGTAAATGGAGTATTGGTAACAAGCTTGTGTTATAATTGCGTTATGGCATTCACTTTAAGAGGCCCGACCTATTCCAATTTCACCTTTCCAGGACTTTATAATGTCCACATAATTTCGCATTCACCTTGTAATGTGTCCTGTTATAATATGTCCATATGTGCGTATTTGCTAAATGTAGAACGTCTGCTATATTGTCTGGAACGCCAGGTCATTGTTTCTAGTTGCCGGGTGTTCTCATATTGCTCTTTTTCGTCCACACCACTGGACTCCCAGCTCTCTATCGTCCAGCTCCAGCTCTCTAGCTAGATTTCCAGCTCTCTAGTCCACCACAAAAAACTAAATCTTTAAGGTACATTCGTCTTCATTTAACCGTTATGACCGCTGCCACAATTCGTATTCATTCTGGGCATTGACTGGCTCTCCGGAATTTATGATGACGCACCCGAGAAGCTCCCCAAAGTCCGAGCAAAAATGAATAGACATGTTTTCCGCGTAGCTTTCCCACAAATTGACACGGCAAACTAAAAACCGGCTTCGGCGCCACAAACAGCCGAAAACGCTAACCCGAGTGCACAGCAGGGGTCTGGCGATCCACGCGGCGCCCTCGCGTTAACCTGCAATACTGTGGCTCTGGAGCGTTGTGTGGGAACTGTTCTGTACATCCCTGCGCGCGTCGCCCCTGTTCAGGGCCGGTTGCATGCGGCAGTGGGCGGATTTTCAGCTCTCCAACGCGGGATACAGCGGCGTTGAGTCATGCTTTTGACGGGAGACGTGTTTTGGTTATCGAGAGTGTTCGGAGCGTTGTTGGTGTTTTATGACCAAATCATTTAGTGGCCTTGTGTCCCATTCCTGCTGAATGCTGTGGCACGATACTTTTCAGATCTGGTGGGTATTCCCGCTGTAAAAGTGCATTGCTTTAACGATTTTCATCAGAGGTAACGACACTAGTAAATTTAGAGCTTGTGTGCGTCTGTAACTGAACCTGGGAGTGACGCCCTTCATATGAGTTCCCTTAGCTATGTAACTCAGTCAGTCTCTGTGACAAGTGCACAAGTGGAAGTCAACAATTTACACCAAACAACAAAGGTCTGGAGCCGAGTCTAATTGCAACCAACTGCCCGACAAGTGCACAAGTGGAAGTCAACAATTTACACCAAACAACAAAGGTCTGGAGCCGAGTCTAATTGCAACCAACCGCCCATTGCAACTGCCGCCTTTCTCTGAAGCGTGCACCACATGAGGTCCGCTTCACACAATCGCTCCCGCATTTCTGTGGCCCGCTTCCCCCTTCAGACGGAGCAATAGCACGTAGCGAGTGCGACGCGTTGTTTACGTTCGTGGCGCCGGCGACGGCGTCGTTATCAGACCATCGCCGCGACGCCGCCGACGGCTGCCGTCGGCACTCATGACCGGCGGCCGCAGCGTCCGGTATCGACCCGATCCCCGTCGGAGGTGCTGCCCAGCCCGGCCGCGGCCGCCGCCGCTCGCTCACCTATGACTGCCGCCCGGCCGGCCGGACGAGGCGGCGCCGCGCTCCCGCCCACGCGTGGCACGTGAGACGCGGGGAAGTTTTGCAATGTTACAATTGTTGAAATGAGTTTCCCAGCTTTTTGTTACTTTTGCTTATTGTTATATCGGACGTCAGCGATTTGATCAGTAATACCAGTGGTCTGAAATTCCTTCAAATTAGCTCAGAATTTCGATCTAAGGTAGCCGACCATGCAGGAGATATCTCAGTTGACTCCATACTTTATCACTATGAATATAAAACGTTTATTTTGCCTTGCTTTTCCGACGTATGTGCTCTACAACGCTTGCAACACACTAATACGTCAAAATGTTGGTATAATATGTGGCACGAAAGCTTGGAACATGCTCTTAAGACAAAATATATGAGAACCGTCATCCCGCAAATTCAACGAAATATTATACTGCGACTTTCATTTCTCACCTATGACGTTTGCCACAGTTCTTTTCGAGGCGAACATTGACCTTGGGAATGTGAGTACCACATGATCCATGTGACGCACTGGCTCAAACTTCAACCAGCCAACTTCTCGGTAACGGCCCTCACCCGCTAGGCCTATCACAAACGTCGTTTTATTGGCTCCAGCAGAGGTGCTCGCGGTCGTCTTGACGACGGTGGTCGCCACCGCGTGGAAGATTGTGGTATCAGTGGGTGGTGCTGTCAGAAAGCGAGGACGGCGTTATTTTGGCCTCGAAAATTATTTAAATTGATGTCTTTATGATGTCTTCAATGTGCTGCAGTGCCACTACTCAGGGCTGTTATCAGACTTATGTCTGATATGAAACAAAAGTATTTTCTTTGCGCGACGCTCGGGGTGGCTGAGGACGCGGATGTGGGCGAGTTTGCGCGATGCTCGGGGTGTGTGAGGGACGAGGATATGAGCAGTTTGCTGGCTCTCGGCGTATGTGTGAGAGGCCACAGATGTGAGCGGGTCGTTGGCCAGCAATATTTGTCAGGAGTACTGACGACATGTGTGTGTGCTGTTTACTGCTCCCTGCCTATGCGTTAGCGTATTGGCTGGGCAGTCTGTGAAATCGGTAACGCAGCCGCACCGTTGGTGACGGTTGTACTGCACAAATAAGGATGCAACATCGATGGCTGCGCCGTCATTGCTCACTTGTGCGAGGCGTTTGATAAATATCACGCAGCAGCTTATATTGTTATTACGCTCATTTATTGCAGATGAGTGCATTGGATGTGCTGTAGCTGATGCAAACGGAACAATGAGAGGTGTTCATGGCGAAATCAGCTGTGTTAATATTAAACTAGGAAAACCGGAACCGCGATGCACGGTGTGATTTAACACGCGCCCGGATGGCCGGCTAGGTATCCTTCGCTCGGGTGGGGGGGTCGACTTGGCCCTCACTCTGAGATCTCGGGAACTAAGAGAGCTAGAGACATGAAACTTACTAAGTGTGTGAACCTGTACGTGAACTCACCTAGGTCAAAGTTTGAGGTACATAGGTCATGAACTTCGGGTCAAATAAGGTCAAGCAAGGTTCAATTTCAGGCTGGTCTCGTAAGTGCCCCTAGAACCTAGATAACTGTTTCAAAGCAAAAGGTCACATACTCAGTGAAGTTCAGTGACCTATTTTGACCTTTTAAAGGTTATGATGACCAAACTCATACTAGACTGCTCTGAATTTTGCATTGGAATAAGCGACAAAGATTACGGTGGGAAGCATGTTTCTAAAAACACAATGTTGGCCTGGGTTATTTCAGGTCAGTGACCTATCCAGACCACTAAGAAGTCCATGGAAGATGTATAATGCGGTTCCTGCTATCGAAAAATTCGAAATGAGCACTAGAAACTATCCCATACAGCAAGCCCTAGAGAAATAACCCATGTAGGTTTTGACCTTCGTCTTACCTTTATACCTGACCTTAGGTCAAATTAATTTGATCATTCAATATTTGTGTTACCTAAAAAAACATTTCAGACATGTATGGTTTCCTTTAACACTCTGTTGTTGCATCAAATTAAACGATTCCCTAGAAATTGCCTTCACTGGAACCATGGCCTGACTTTGGTCTGCCATAGGTCAGCGATCTTACAAGGTACATCTAAATTTGATAGGCCAAACGATCTGCTATTAAATTGTCTGCAGCTATGCAAAATTGGGCGCGGCTGCGCCTAGCCATTCGGAAATCATTCTGGAAAAACCTTCGAGGGGGTCAGTTTGACCCCCACCCGACCGCGCGTTAAGACCCACAATGTTCTTTTTGGACGCTGTCTAGGAGTTGTGGAGCGGTGTTACCCAGCATCGACTTCAAGAATGGTCCGAGGTGGATATTGAAGGAGTGTTTCACATTTGTATGCGGGTTTGAACTGAAAGTGCTATTTTGAAGAGCATTCGGTGTAGTTCACAGCCCTGCCCTTTTTAAAACCTGAGCCCGTCTAGTTTCTGAACTGCACACCCGCAAAGATGTGCAGACTATTTCAAACGCGATTTCCAAGTACAACGGCCATCAATTGCCTCTCAATCATTGTATTGCAAGGTACGACGACGCAAGGAAACAGTGGCATAAGGAAATATTTGTACTAACGATAAAAAAATGTGTTGTCAGGAGCTGTCCTTCCCGCTTGAAAATATGACATTTGTTATGCGAGCATATTGTTCTATATCTGATTGCTGCTTCAATATCTTCAAATGTGCACCATTCCCTTTAAAAATGATAACAGCACCCGGGCACCTGTGAGAGTCACGAGGAGTCTGACCGCCCTTTTGACTTCGGCGGCAGCCTTATAGACGTTGCGTCGTCGCATTTCCTTTCTAGTCACCGTCATCAACTAGCGACGATCGGCTTTGTCACACCGCCAGCAGCGTGCCGCGTGGCCACGCTACCCTTGCCGCTGTGAGGCAAGCAGAGCAAGTGCACCGCTCCAAGGCAAGCCGAGCGACTGCACCGCTCCGAGGCAAGTCGAACAAGGCAACTCTGGACCGCTCCGAGGCAAGTCGAACAAGGCAACTCTGCACCGCTCAGAGGCAGGCCGAGCAACTGCACCGTTCCGAGGCAAGTCGAACAAGGCAACTCTGCACCGCTCCGAGGCAAGCCGAGCGACTGCACCGCTCCGAGGCAAGCCGAGCAACTGCGTCGCTCCGAGGCAAGCCGAGCAACTGCACCGCTCCGAGGCAAGCCGAGCGACTGCGCTGCTC